TACTCCACTCGCTTTGAAGCCTTGATTTAGAAGATTGAAAACAACCTCAGAAGGGAAAACCTGCCTGAGTAAATAATTTCCATTGTTTTAGTACCTCACAGATTTCCTATCATTAGTCTGAACTGGGTAAAACCTACCTAAAACTCATAGTCCATTGAGATGTATAGCTAGTTAAAACCTCCTACCAAAAGTTTCCTATCCCACCTATGTAGTTATCATGCTATAAAAGTCAAACTAGCAAAATAACACTGAGTGTTAAGGATGTTTCAGAGGTGGAAACTCTTATCCTTACATATATGTTGGTATTAAACAGTGAAAGGCTGACTTACAATTAGAGTTATAGAGAGATGCAGAGGATATTTGGCAGTACCTGAAAAAGGAAACCGCTTGCTCAGTTGATCTCAGGTTTCCATGAAGGACTTCACACTAGATTTCTACTTAAGCTGTTGTATCAGTCTTTATACAGTTCAAAAGAAATTAAGCTGGAGAATTGGTTCTGCTCCCCAGCTGCATGGAAACTTAAAACTTCTCCAGTGCAGATATAATAACAAGGTGGGCATATCCAGTGTGTTCTTTTTCCAGAAACAGTATTTGCCAGGAACCTTACACAACAAAATACCTGCTTGTCACAACATTATTGCAGTTTAAGTATAGCTAGAAACATTTCTGCAGTGCATTAAAACTCCTTTGCCATCATCTGTAGTGTGAGATTATGAGTACCTTAATTGCAGTAGCTTTCTGCACAAAGTTTTGAGCTGAAAACTTCTCTACGTGTTCTCTGACTTTCTACTAAAGTGATATAGAACGGGAAATAAAAGACACTGCTGAAGTTGTGGCAAGAACAGTGGGAGCGTAGAGAAAGCATCATAATACTGTAATACTGCTTCCTGAGCTCTTTAACTGAAAGACATAGACAGGAGCTATTTAAACAGTGATTAAAGGATTTATGTACTACAGTGAGGTCTGCCAGTAAACTCAGGCTTGGCTTGTGGTGATTGACAGGTAAGGCACAGGTCATACTTAAAAGTTCCAGAAATCCCAGTAATCATTGTTCTCACTGAAACTGCTATGTGCAAGGTAGACTACATCTACTGCTTAAGGCAGAAGAATCCATATTCTTATCTGATTTGATGATTAGCTAGCTACTATTAAAGCACCCTGTGACTCTTAACTGTTGATATTACAAATTGAAGTGGAAAGTCAGTTTTGGTTTTCTTACCTGGTTTTAAAGTCTTAAGCAAGACAGACTCAGTGCCTGGCATGATTAGAATGATAACAAAACTGTACAAGTATCCATTAAAATGCATTTATTTGTTTTAATTCAAAGGTTTAACAACTATTTGCCCAGTGCTCTGGACTTCAGGACACAACAGCAAAAAAAACCATCAGACCAAAATACAAAAACAAGTACACAAATTATCCCTTATTTGTAAACGTTACCTCATAACCAAGTTTTAGCACATTAAAAAGTTTACAAAATTTATAACACTCTTACAAATTATTCAGAACTAACAGCATGCATGGCAGCTGAGCCTTTCTACATCCACCCTTGCCCTTGCCATACCATTCTGTGCCTGGATAATGCCACGCTTGAACTAGAGGGTTGGGTAACTGGAACTGCAAGTTTCCCCAAGACTGCTTCGTGCATCAGCCCAGTGCCTGAGCAGCTCCAGCTCCCTCGCACAGTTTGGTTGGCGAGTGGTGTGGCTATGCTCACTGTCCTGCCTGCTGTGTCCTCTGCAGCATTGAGATAATGACTCAGTAAATGCAGAAATAATTTTCAAAAAGTACAAAATTGACCCTGAAGAAAAATAAAATCATTTAGAAAACAGCTTGGCTTGGACTAAGTTACACTAAAAGCTGCAAGACAGATTTACAGCACTATCACTTTGCGTATGAGATCACAAAAATCAACAGATTTCTTATGAGTCTTGTCACTGTAAAAATGAAAACATCAACATTGACTTATCTGCCCATAGAAACCTTTTACCTCCTACCAGGGGTGACATATGCCCTCTTCCTGCTTTTTGGCCTTTTCAGAGCTTTGTTAACTATTAGAACTAATTTAATTCCTAAGAACTTGCCTCTAGTGAAACAATTGCAACAGTGAGAAAAACAGCACATCTCTATTTTGTGTTAGCTCTAGATGCATAGAAAACAAATGCCTGCGTTTAGATGTAAGACTTAGGACATAAAAGTAAAATACAGTAAGCTAACAGTTGCAAATAGCCATTACTTCTGAAAGAAAGATACAGTTGGGCTTTACAAAATGGTATCAAATATACAGAAATATCAAAACCCTGATTGTGGCCAGAAACAGATGGATAAATCTACAGTGAGGTACTCTATAATCTTAAGATATGGAAATGGACTGAACTTTTCATGTCTCCCAACTTCAGCGAGGCAGAACCTGCTGAAGCACGAGCAGGCTTTGCTTATAAGCAAAGTTTGTCAATGCCTAAGAAGCTGAACCAAAACCAAGTGTAGGTGAGTGTGCATAGGCTGTGGCTTTTTACTGATTTATACATGCATGGCCAAGAACTGTTGATTTTCACCCTTCAAAAGAAACAAGATGCAAATTCTTCTTTGGTGCTTAAATAGGAAGATGTTACTGCCATGCGTCTGAATCCTTGAACAGCAGCACTGCACGTATCCCGCACAGCTAAAGCCTTGGCACCATAAGCTCCATGTTCACAGGCCCAGGTGCCAGATGCTGTGGTGGGTGCACTGATTTTACGAGCTCACTTTTCTGCTTTGGAAGGCTACTTACTCTAGGGCTGCATAAACTAACCAATCAGTAAACAAGTTCATTGTCATTAATAATGCTTCATTTATATGTACATTTGGAGGCAAATTTAGACAGTCAGTCACTGGCAGAGTTACCAGTTTCACTGCTCCTTGTTTCTTTTATTTGAAGTGCCTACAGTACTAAAAATTAGGAGAGTAGAGCTCTGTTCAGACACCTTAATACATGCCAAATTCTCTGTGAAGTCTAGGCACTGGCACTGCACAGGATTTATTTTTTTTTTCTGGTATTGTGCCTGACTTGCTAGCACACAGCAAATCAGTCCACTTCAGGGTGAGATTTTACAGTCATCTTAAACTAGTGGTGCAAGGAACAGTCTGTGAGGTTAGATGGGCCACCTCCCGCTCTGCCCCACTGCTACTGCAAATGGTTTTGTAACTGGTAGTACTGTGACTAGAGTGTTAGGAACATTTGACCGTGGGAGGGGACCAGAACTACACTTCCAGTTGTACGCCGCACTGCTGCAGTGTAAAATTCATCATCAGGTCCTGGGCAACAGCTTTAGCTCGACACAGATTGTGTGCATAATCCCACTGGAGAGAATGCCAATTAGCTTTCAAGAGTAGCAGTATAGTATTGCTCTTTAATTATCAGCGTAAATAAGCATAAAAACGACCAAATAAATCATCTGTATAGCATAACTGCCTGTAAAATAAAGCATTCAGGGAAATGAAAATCAGCCTCTGCCAAGAAAGAGAATAACCCCTACAGCAACCAAGTATCCTGTGCTTTCCCATTCAAACCAATATCCTGCACGTTGAACAAGCTCTGTCCGATGCATATTCCAAGCAGATACCAGAGACCCCTGAGGAATAAAGGATGTAAAGTTCCATGATGTAAGCCTCAGAAGTTCATTCTCTTTCTGCTCCTATTCTGACCTGTTCTTCACCTTCCGTTGAAGCTTGTGTCTAGCTATGCTGATAGGGTTTCTTGTGGCACCATACCATAAACCAAAATGAACTACTACATTTTAAAAGCCTTCAATGAGGCAAGGGGAAGGAGGGAATAATTTAACTTTTGGGTCCTTCACTACAGGAAAGACACTGAGGTGCTGGAGTGTGTCCAAGGGACAGCAAAGCTGGTGAAGGGTCTAGAGCACAAGTCCTGTGAGGAGCAGCTGAGGGAACTCGGGGTGTTTAGCCTGGAGTGGAGGCAACTCTCTACAACTACCTGGAAGGAGGCTGGAATGAGGTAGATGTTGCTCTCTTTTCCCAAGTAACAGGACAAGAGGAAATGGCCTCCAGTTGCACTGGGGGACGTTTAGGTTGGATATTAGGAAAAATTTCTTTACTGAAAGGGTCATCAAGTGTTAGAACAGGCTGCCCAGGAAGGTGGTTGAGTCACCACCCCTGGAGGTATTTCAAAGACATTGTAGATGTGGTGCTTAGGGAGACTGTTGGTGAACTTGGCAGTGCAAAGTTTATGGTTGGATTTGATGATCTTAAAGGTCTTTTCCAACCTAAATGATTCTATTCTATCTCAGCCAGCTTCACTGATACTGTACAACAAGCAAAGAAGCAACATCTCCCACTGTTCCACTGCCTACCCTCCTGTCTGACTCCAGGTGCACCACTCCACTCTTACACAGCAGCTCCTTACCTCTCTACTTTTTTGCTGAATTACCTTGTTCAGTTAGCCATTTTATAAATTTAAAGTGGTAGAGAAGAGTTCAGTGAGCTCCACAACCTGCACAGGTAAAGTTTGGAAGGGGAATATGAGTATGCCATTGGCTTTGAGGAGCGGTTCTGTCAGCGTACTCCACTTTGTGAAATTACGCCTGAAATTTCTACTGTGACTCAAAACAACTGGACCCATAACAGGGAACAGCTCAAGTCACAGCACAGAGACCAGGATAGGGGGTGGGAGGGAAGGCAGGAGCAATCACGGTGGCTCTGCTGTCAAAGTCAGTGGTCCAAGTGACACCACTTGGGCCACACCAAGAATCCTTTCATCCAGATTTCCCTCCTGTTGGCTATATTTAACATTGCCATTCCTGCTACTGAATTTTAATTCAGTCAGAAGAGCTCACAAATTTTGCATTCCAAGCAAACAGCCTGCACTGAGACACCTGAGCTTATTTAGATGCTTCTGCAGTCTTAACTGACCAGAGGCAGTCAATGGTGGCAAATAGTAGCCATTTTATACTTGTTTAGAGTGCCCTTAAGCATATGACTATAGATAAGAAAAGTTTTAAAAAAAAAAAAAGCTGCTACTTTCACATAACTCAGAATTTTTTCCAGTAGCTACAATATTTTGAAGAAAAAGAAACAGGAAATATTCTTTAAAAAAACCCCAACATACAGTTAAGCAAATAATAATGCTAAATAACATTTGCAAAATTTGGATAAAATCATTCTACTGTAATACAAAACATTCCTTCTGAACAGGATTGAATTCAACATGAGGCATTTTGCCAAATTCTTAAGTGAATAAATAAACCATGATACACTTGACAGTAACTATGGGGAGGGAAGTATCACTGTACATGTTCACAGGAGATGAAGTGTATTAATAGGGGGCATGCTTTAACATCCAGCACTGTGCATCTTAGCATCTCCCAGCAACATCCTGCTATTTCCTCATGAAATGCTGAATCTGCTGAAATAAATAGCAAGAACTTCTGTCACCTCAGCAGCTGATTATTAAGTGGTCTTCCACAGATGGATTCAGCCCTTCAATACCAACATATTCTTTCTTTAGGCCCCACGCCACAAATACTTAAGCAACACATGCCCGGCTTTACTGAGCCAGCAGCGAGACTCGCAGTGAAATTCATTATGTCCTTAGACATCTGCAGGATCAGCAGTTCACAGGTAACTCTCTATGCTGGTAGTTTTTATCAGGTGCTCAGCCTTCTCAAGTTGAATTCTGATTAAAAACACAAGGAGCTGTATAGTCTAAGACTAGCTATACTATAGCTAGACTATATATGACTAGCTATATGTATTGCAGCTTCTCACGCTGTGAGAGTACAGTGTAATTATGTGTGTATATATATGTATATATGTTATGTGTATATATATACACACACACACACACAGAGCGCGCCAGGAATGGAAGAAAGCCAGAAACCAGTTTGTAAATTAGAATGTGGGTCAATATATTTTCGATTGAAGTGTACTGTTTTTTTAATCATACAGAGTAAAAATATTTGAAGTAGCCATTTGTTCCCTCTCCAATGAAAATGCTTCTTTTTAAGGGGTGTGTGTGTGTGTGTGTATGTGTGTGTGAACCACTTTCATTACTTTTCCTTCTTGAGGTATAAATGACTGTACCTTAACTTCAGAATACATCTTCAGGTGATCCAGCTGGAGGAGGTATGATAGTTTAGTTTTATCTTACAAGTCACAGCTTTGACAACACAATGAATCTATATGTTGCAACAAACTTTTGTACAACAAAATTTCTGCAGCCCTGAAGCACAACAGTCTGCATAACAGGCTCACAATTAACTATCTGGAGGAACATACTCAAGACTGCCCATCTTTCTGCCGAGCAGTGTCTCCTCTCACCTTGGAAAATTTGAACAGGTACACGCAGTTTACTATTTATCCTTCTGCCTATCCACATCCTGTTCTCCAAAAGACATGCTGACAGGAAGAATTAGTCATTACTAGTAAACTGGAACACTTTCTTTTCAGTAGAGGCCTGCACTGATTTCACGTTCATTTTTATATCCATAATTTAAAATCAGTATACAGAATGCATTGGAGCTGTAGAGAGAGAACACAGTTTCATTTTGTTTCTTCACTAACCACTGGACTACTGAGTGAGGATCAGTGTAGAACACAGAGGAGGAATGTTTCAAAACCTAGTAAGTAAAAAAAGAAAACTCTGATGTTTACATTGGGCTTTGTATCTCCACCACCTCTCCAGTCAAAGTGAAACACTTTGTTCAAAGTCAGAACAGTGGACAAAATATCTTATCATAGCCTACATGTAATACAGTCTTTTGAAATTATTTCAACGTGGTGTTTTTCCGCTCACTCAAATAAAAGCATCTCCAAAGCATCAAGATCTGACAGGACTTGGCTAGATAGATATTTATCCACAGCAGCTCAGAAATCAAGTAGTCAAAAAAAAATAAATATTTTTGAATGAGTTATTGTTCCCCAACATTTTCAACCAGCTTAAAGAAAATACAGTAGAACCTCACTGTTTTGCACTTACAACTGGGAGATTAAGTGTACATCATTTCACTGTGACCATTTTGCAAGATTCAAGTGCTCAGAGTTAAGCCAGGATGATGCACATCAACGTGGGTTCTGTTCACATCAGTGGAGTGTTGTAATTCAGCTTTATTTCCTATCCTGTGATGTAAGTGTACTTACATTTAATGGAAAATAAGTCAAAACGAGGTAGCACTGCCACGCTCTTTGCTGGAATGTGGACAGATCCTGGCCTAATTTTAAACAGTGGCTTAGCAAGATTCTGCTGTAATCTACATAAAATGTATAAAATACGAACCTTTTCCAGAATAAGGCCACTAATTTTGCCATTGGCAATAGGCAGTGAGAAACAGCAGTTAAAAAAAACCTCACTTGATTATAGAGGTGTTTTTGAGGCAATAAACTGTGGGGAGAAGTATAAATACATTGTCCTCTCATCCCTCCTCTTTGTTTTCCAGTATAAGTATCTCTGCTTCCTATATGTACTACTCCGTGGGGAGAAATTTCAGTCTATTTTCTTAGCTGGGAGTCTAAGCAAGTCCACGCTACATTTAAAGATGGGGCCAGCACTGTAAAACAGTAGGATTACAAGCTTCCCATGAGTCATGGTCATGACAGTCTGATGTCCAGATGCCCAAATTCGATACCAGGGCCCATAAAAAGGATCTGAGACGGCTGGGCACAACATGTTGTTCAAATTCACTTCTGTAACCTGAGAAAGTGACAACAAATTTATAAATTAACAATATTTTTGTGTGGCACTGATTCAAACAACTAAAATGGTAATTTTGAAATAACCATAATAATAAAAAATGTTTAGGTCACACTTCTTCGTTCAACACAAGTAGGGCAGCTTTTGGGAGGAAAGTAGATCCAAATTCAGTTGTGCATTTAATAGATGGGTTTATGCAGGTACATAACCAACTTATGAAATATTTTACTGATGCTTGTGAGATATGATACACAACATTAGAACATGCAGTTAAAAAATTGCATATCCATATATATATATAGAGACACTCCAAAAAACTAGTCAGTGTTTTTATTTGAATGTACTTGCAAACCATCCATTTATTAACCTGTATTTACTTACCAATCCCAGAATCTGCAAGATGCTAAAATGATATACAAACATAAACCCCGTGGATAAAAGAGCCCACCAGAAATTGCAGAGTGGTTCTGGAGTGTAGATACCTTGAAAAGAAAGGAATACATTAGTATTCAGATGAATTGCTGTGTCCATCAAACACTCATGAATAATCCTCTCTCTTCTGCTCTGTGGATGTTCGGGCATCTGGCTTTAGCTGATAACCTACTCAATACCATTACAGTAATTAATATTTGAGTGCCTTATTTCTTACCTGAAGCATCCTCATCAGCTTCTTCCCTCCTCTGGTCCAGCAGTAAAACATACAATATGTTACCTCATTAAGCTTGCCTCTTTTTCACCAACACTAGTGATTTTTTACTTCATTCTTACTTCTACCACAGAAGTACTAAATTATTTTAAAATACAGTAGTGGTATATGAATCTTAAAATCAGGTTATTTATACTTAAAACACCTGCTTCTTATGGGGGCTATGACTTCAGCATGCACAGAACTAACCTAGGTAGTGTCAGTTCCTGCGCAGCACTGTATTAGAGCACAGCTTAATTGCCATTTCCTAATTTTATGGTTGTTTAACAACTATTAAAAATTAACTTGCACCAATAATTCCTAGGAACAGAAAAGCAGTATAAAATTAATGATGGAGTTTTTAAATTAAAACTGCTGTGGAGATATTTTCAGATATATAATACAAACAATTTTATAATCCGTAGGTATCACAGATACTGTATTTTTTCCCCTTTAAATGAAGTAGCAGATAAAACATTATTCCTGGGTTCATCTATCCATCTCCTCCTTAAATTAGGCTTTATCAATTTACTGACAAAACAGTGTCATGTGATCTAGAATGTACCAAGGAAATCAGAAATAAAAGTACCCTTAGATACAGGACTATTTTTGGAATGAAATATTCAAACATCATATGGTAAGAACAAAAACAGTTTACAGAGTCTCAAGACTCTTGCTAGCAGACATGAAAATTTCAGTGTTAAGATATGGGGGAAAATATTATTTTCCATACAACTTTAATAACTTAACCTAGGGATGCAGAAGAAAAAAGTGCACAAAATCATGCTGCTCAGCTGCTACAAGGAGTTTCAGGTGATTATAAAAATACACTGGCATTTTTTTATTTGCCTTTGTCTGCTCTCTGATCCATTAGATATTATTAAATATTGGAATGTGTATCCAGTACTCAAAGGATTGCTTACAGCAGAGTGCAATATTCCTATTAGCCTTTGCTAGCTAGCACACTCAGTAATTTCCAGGAAGATTCAACAGACTTCAGCACATACTCTACAAGGCTATGGGGAACTCGGGTAACTACACATGTGCAGCTAGCTATGACAGAACATGCCAGACTACAGCTGCTATGAGTATGCCTGTGTATGGTATTGTATGTAGACAAAGGCAAATAACTGCTATTACCTGCTTTACTACACTGCTGTATAATGATGCATCCCATCTCAGGTCTAAAATTCCTAGAGGACTGCTTTCTCAATCCCTCTTGCCCTTTTACAATTCTTTTCTGCATAGTTGTCTTCTATATTTTGTACCCATCATGCCAGGTCAGATGGATTTTGCAGTAGCTACCTGAAATAATCTGATTTAAATATCATATTGTGTTACAAATTCAAAATTACCTACACTTTATCACCTAAACTTGTACATCTATTCATTGTCCACTCCAAATAGTTTCTCTGTTGCTAGTCAAGGAAGGAGTCGATTGTGTGCATGAATGACAGCAGCACATATGCACCCCATATATTACTCCCTGACTTTAATGAGCAACAATAATAGTGTAATTACTTGAGTCACAACAGCAGACCATGTTTTAGTGAGCAAGCTGTGACTTGGTGCAACCATGATAAATATTAGCAGAGAAGCTACTTTGAAAGCATAAGGCAGCTTATAAGATTTCTTATCCAGTGGGTAGGTGAAGGTCAGAAGAAGTGTCTGAACTATAAGCAAATTCCAAAGGTAAAACTGAACTCTACATCAATAACTAAGTGGAGTGTTCTACAGGTAAAGGGAAAAAATTCACAATGGTCTAATTCTTTGAACATACTTAGCAAGCATGATCTAAGAGCTGGTATCCTATTTAGAAAACAGTACAGGAGATTTAAACAGCAATGATATTCATTAAACTCCACTGTCTGAAAACATCAGATATGTGATACCACCTTGAATATATTTTTTCACTACAGAGAGCAAGAGAAGCAGCAACTATCCTTGGTGTCTGAGTTCAGGAGACCGTGGCTCTATTTTTGGCTGCACCAACTTCAAGTGACCTGGTCAAGCTATACAGAAACTCTTTGTGTTCCCTCCTCAGCTGTAGAGTAAAGAAAACATATTTGACTTGCAAAGGTTTTTTTGTACTGTCTTTGCAGTTTTAGGTGCATGTTTAACCTAGATGCAAAACACAACATAAAATTTAAATAAGGTATCTAAAACAGCTCCCAGAAACTAGCGGAGTAGTGCTATACCAAATTCAGTTTCATGTGAACTTGCCTGGTTGGCAGTTGCCTGTGTTATTTCAAAAGTATTTGACAAAGCCTGAGAACAGATGGTAGTAAAGAGGTAAACATTCAGAAAAGATAAAGTCCAGAGATCTTGATATTTGGGGGACTTAAAGTGCAGGTACTATATAAATGCTAAAATAGACAAGCAAACTCAGCCACAAAACAAGACTGGAGGGAGAAAGCAGTCATTAAAAGACTAATGAAACTGCACAAGATGACAAAATAGATCAGTGGCATACTTTGGCTTTGAACCCAAGCTTCTCATGTCCAGCTTCAATCTAGTCAGGGAATCATGTTTTAGAAGTCACTAAGGAGAGCTGTTCGGGTTCCTCCAGCTAAGAATTTCACACTGCTACATCCTCCCTCTGCTGCAAAGCTTAAAAAAAATACATTAGCAACTCTCACCCTCTACAGACCTTTGATCTCACTTTATAATAGAAGAATCCTCCTTGCCAGACTTTGTAATCCTGAAAATAGTGTGATTTTTAGCAGTATCATTATTTGGACATCAAGGGCCAAAAAGAAACAATGACCTCCACACGGAGATTGCTAAGAGCTCTGGATTCCTAACAGTGCTTTGGGAAACTAATTTTCAATTCATACCTGAGATACTTTCTGTATATTTCTCATTAGATAAATAATTACTATAGATTTTATTACTCTACAGTCCTGCTATTCAACAGATGACTGTTTAACAGAGCAGTGTGGTGTATTTTCTGCAGTACGCAATCTGTTAAAAGAAACAAACAGGAAAATCAAGAGCCAGCCGAGTGGTTGGTTGAATGGCCTGTGGTTGGCTTTGGCAAAAGCTACTTGCTGCTTACATAGGAAATCAATTTCAGTAGGTAGCACTGAGTTTCCCTCTCTATTCACTAAGGATCACAGGCAATTCTTATATGTTAAGCACTTTCAAAAATTTAATCCAACTGCCAGTCTGGCACTAATCTCACTCTCAAAAATGCTCATGCTCCAGACAGTTGAGACCGTTCCAAATCAGAGTCATCCAAGTAGGCTGTGTATTTGCTCTTGTGTTGAAATAGCACAGCACTGCATATTTCAGTTTAATTTAAACCTCATATTTCAGTAGCATTGATAGGAAGGATTTCATATAGATTGAAAAGTTTGGGGTTCATCATCTGCTTCTACAAGAATTTGTTGACCTTGAACATGCCAATTGATTAATTTTGCCATCCAGAAAATGGAAGTATGGCTTTAAAAATCTAAAGATCAATAAAGAGACTCAGTTTCTTTTATACTGTTTCCAGTTGGAATGTTTTGTGCTAGTTCTAGTGTTCTTATGAACTATTACTTTTAAAGTTCTCAAAACATAGGATTTTAAAATTTTGAATACAACTTAATAGAAAGTAATACGCCTTTTTTATTTCTGTGAAAACATAACACAGGAAAAAATTACTCCTCTGCTTGAATTAGAAACTAAAAACAGTACAATTTTTTAATTTAGCAGGGTCTTAAAATAACCTCTTTTTCCTAATTAATGTCTTGCTCTCATTGCTATTTCATTTGATAGCGCTTTACCAGTTTTCCATCCCAGCCCTCTCCTTCAGTAGTCTCACAATTACAGGTAGACCTGCTTAATCCAAAACTCAGAGCAACTATTACAGTTCTTTCATTTTCAAGCTTATAAAAATGTGAGGGCAAATTTATTTCCATTTTATTTCCCTTGATCAAAGGGTTAATTCTAGTAGTGTAACCTATTGAGCTAGCCTAGAGACCAAACTTCCTTTCCAGGAGAAAACAGGAAAAATGTTCTCAAGAGGATGAGCCTAAAATCCACTGTTAAACCTACAGCTGTTCGGCATCTATGTGTAGATTTCAAAACACTGCCTTATGCCAGAAGATTTCTATTTCCCTCAATGCCAGCTACTCTCACCAGAATCACCTCAGACAGAGGTCTTACTACCTGCTCCTCTCAGGAACCATGTTTTATATTCCATAAGAAGCAGCAGCAGTTCTTCCTTCAAAAAGTACTAGTTCTTCCATATACTGGTACATACCCTTCTTTAACAGACCCTGGGCCCACTTGGAGAATGCCACATTAATTTCCTTATTTAGTTTTAAGTGTTTCATAATAGACCACCATAGTTTCAAAGAACTGTAACTGCCCAGTGCATGAAGCTCAGAGGGTCACAAAACAGAGACATGTCCCCTCCTCTTCCTCTCCAGCTCTCTTAAATCATTACACAAGATTATCCTGAAACGACCAAGCTACAAGAAAGCCTGCAGCCCCAGCAGCAGCTCAGCCCTCCAGCTGCTCATGCCACAGCTACCCTGCTGCTCAAGGGGCCATAGCACAAGCACAGCTGGACAGGGAACCAGGCACTGACATCTCTCACACGGGATTCAGGAGGCAGGGACAGGAACATGGAAGCTGCCAGCAGGAGAGGAGAAGAATAATATACAAGAGTTGACAGGTCTCCAAGTAATTAAGAGTTTCAGTGAAAGAGCTGTACCGCATGTTATCAAGTATTTCAGTGAGGATGGAGATAAACTAGATTTATGACTACCTAACTATATTCAAGGATTACTACTAAGCTATGTAATA